TTTGTACCCATGACCTTTGATGATATTCAGTGAGAGGGTTTGTGTGTTTTAAATGTACCAAATATCAGTAGATATTAACCTATACTTTATTATCCATACTGGAAATATGAATACAAAAGAATTATCTACCTATATCCTAAATATGTTTTTTTGTTTTGTTTTGTTTCTTATCAACCATAATAATGCCATAGTTGAGTATATTACTTCTGTAATTGTGATACAAATCACAATGTTTTCAACTCTGCACAATAAACTGTCTTTCTCTTTATACATACATACTTGTATAGAGAGAAAGAGTTTATAATTCAATTTCTTACCTGAACAACTTGATTACGTACTTATAAGTATAGAAGTCTTTTCCCCTCCAAAATAAAACTTACCTGAGAAGTTGAACTATAGAACAAGAGATTAATCACACATTTTTCTTCAGATCCTAGAACCTTTCTTCACAATAAACTGCTAAAATGTTCTTTGATCTCTTCATTTGTTTGGTTCCAGGGCCAGAAGGCTTGGGGAATCTCACCCAGATGTTCTGCTCATTTAGGAGTGAAAGTAAAAGCATATGCCTACTCCTAGGAATAACACAGACTCTGAATTTGAGTTATTAAAAGATCACTTTTTTGTATTCTTGTATTCAACTACTGGTTTCAGTTCAGTTCTTTCAATTAAATAGCTTGAAATGGAAAAACACCGAAAGCTGCTAAAATTTGCTTTCCATTCCTCGGCTTTCATTGTGATTGGGTTAAAACCAAAAGGCTACAAGATGATGAATTAGTTTCAGTGTTTACAAAATGTTTTGCCTATGGTGTCTACTAAATAAATGCATATTTATTGTTGTTTTTCTATGAAATGTTGACATGTCTTCACCTCTCCACTGAAGAAGCAATATTTACTGATCATTTTGATGCATACAATTATCTAAAGTTCAAGCTTTTCATGTCTCTAACAGTTATATCCCTTATGCTGTAGGTGCTATAATGGCAGCCACAATCTCCTTCATCATCTGGGTGTTATTCATAACAGATACTGTGTGGACTCGAAGCGTGAGACAGGTCTCTGAGGTACATGATCCAGAGGATTGGACTGTTCATCATGACTTCGATTGTCCCAGGGAGTGTTTCTGTCCCCCCAGTTTCCCTACTGCTTTATACTGTGAAAATCGAGGTCTCAAAGAAATTCCTGCTATTCCTTCAAGGATCTGGTATCTTTATCTTGAAAACAACCTGATAGAAACCATTCCTGAGAAGCCATTCGAGAATGCCACCCAGCTGAGATGGATAAATCTAAACAAAAATAAAATAACCAACTATGGAATTGAAAAGGGAGCCCTAAGCCAGCTAAAGAAGCTGCTTTTCTTATTTCTGGAAGATAACGAGCTAGAGGAAGTACCGTCTCCATTGCCAAGAAGCTTAGAACAATTACAGTTAGCTAGAAATAAGGTGTCCAGAATTCCTCAAGGGACCTTCAGCAATCTGGAGAACCTGACCCTTCTTGATCTACAGCACAATAAACTAGTAGACAATGCCTTTCAAAGAGACACCTTTAAGGGCCTCAAGAACCTCATGCAGCTAAACATGGCCAAGAATGCCCTGAGGAATATGCCTCCAAGATTACCAGCCAATACAATGCAACTGTTTTTAGACAACAATTCCATTGAAGGAATACCAGAAAATTATTTTAATGTGATTCCCAAAGTGGCCTTTCTGAGACTAAACCACAATAAATTATCTGATGCAGGTCTCCCATCAAGTGGCTTTGATGTATCGTCAATTCTAGATCTTCAACTGTCTTACAATCAACTCACAAAGGTTCCCCGAATCAGTGCTCATCTGCAGCACCTTCACCTTGATCATAACAAAATTCAAAGTAAGTAACCATTAGGGTGTGTCTTTGACTAAAACGCCCGTGGTCATTAAATTTATTCTATATCTTCATTAGAAATAGGAATTGTGTTGCCCCCATATGCCCTTAGATACTTTTAGTATATTTTCAATTTTCAGTATTAAGTTTTGTCTAGTCACAGACAGTCTTAATGGGCTAAGAAGTTCAAATCTTCAAGTTGAATACTGAAAAGTGGACTTCAGTAATCTACAGAGGGCCATTATCTATTGGAGAAACTAAATGTCTCTATCTTCTTTTACTCAAGGAGATTCTGATAGTTCTACCTCACGGAGTAGACTTATTTAAGAAACTTTACCAAGCACAACCAACCTCATGAATAGTCATAGAGGGAATATTATTTAAAAGGTATTAGGAAGGCACTTATGTCCTAAAAACTATTGGACAGCTGAAACTGCTGAGAATTTTCATTTCTAACAAGTTCCCAGGTGATGCTGATGCTGATGCTTTGGGAACAACATATTGAGAGCCACTACTACAGTTCAAGGCTTTACTTAAATTAAAATAGAAACAAATGCCCTTGGGAGCTGGCAACTCCTTGGCACTTATTGGCAATCGGCAAGGTGGAAAGAATACTCTCTCCTTTCCTGAAAGTAGATCTGATAGGAGAGTGAGAGGTGAGGGCAAAGTTTTTAGAGGCAGAGGTGCCATCAAGAGAAGAAGCATTTATAGAAAACATTAAAGACAAACTAAGCATGCTCACAATATGCCTGAGACCAGGCTGGACCTCAGGTAGAAGTGAGCAATATCTTGGGCCAGCCTGGCACTTACCTATGCATCTTCAACCCCAATAAAAGCCCTTTAGGAAAATAACCTAAAGGGGAGATTTTTCCTTGACAACCTAAGAAAATGCAGTCCTAAAGTGAGATTCAGTCAGAATGGTTTGTAAGAAAGTAACAGAGATAATTGTCAAAAATTGTCCTGCCTGGTTATTACTTACTATAGTTTCCTTTAAGCAAATAATCACATAAGCATACCATTTATAAGAACAGAATATATTTCCACTGGGTAATGCTCAAGTTATTCAAGATTTTTTTTTTTTTTTTTTTTTAATAACAGTGTGCTTGAGCACAAAATCCAAGAATTAAATGGCAGGTTGCCTCCACAGCAGTTATTTTTCCATGGTGATGAAACATATTATTTAATCCTGTAGTCAAAAGCAAAAGATGCAACAGAATAACATTTATTAATAGAGGAATCTGTTTAGCTGAACCAAATAGTACAAAAACCAGTGTTGACCTAAATATGCAGTTTTTTCCTGATAAGTGTTTTGTGCTTCTACAGGTACATTCTTTATCTGACAGTAAAAGCCCCACAGACAATTGTTGTGGGAAGTTAATTTCAAGTGATTCCACAGATTTCAAGTGATTCCATTTTTTGTGAATTGGGGGGTTCTATCCTGAGAATTTGTGAATGAGAATGTTTAGGAGTGAGATAGTTATATTCAAAACACAGTCAATAAGTGTAAGACTCTAACCTTCCTTCATCTACAATTTGGGTTTGTTTCCTAAGTATTATCTCATACGTTTCTATTTTTCAATTGTTCTCATAACTTAGTGTGCATCAGAATCACCTGATGAACTCATAAAACACAGGTTGCTGGGTCCCACCCCCACAGTTTTGGCCTCAGTAGGAATGAGGTGGGGCCTAATAATTTAGTTCCCAGGTAGTATTGATGCTGCTGGCCCATGATTCAAGAACCACCAATTATTTCTAGAAAGATCCTTGTGTGATATTGTTAGGAATTTCTGAATAAAGAGAAACTGAATCCCAAGGACAAAGAGTAAATACAATATCTAGGACCTGAGCTTTTCATTTTAAGTGTTTTTTCCACGCACAGTATAATAACAACACTTTTCTTCAATCTCCTGAATATAAGCATTTGGGAAAAAATTCTATCAGTAGAACAGCAACAACATCAAAAAAGAGAAATTGAATTATTTTCTTCTTAATGTAGATATCAAATGTGGCCATTTCTATATTCCAAGAAAATAAATGTGAAACAAGAATTTCCCTGGCTAGATTATTGGCTATCGATTATATCCTAATCTGTTCAAATGATTGTTAAAGAACTTAGTTCTTCTTGCCACATATTCTACTGTAGTTGTTAATAAAGCAGCTTCCAAGAAACACACTTTTTATATGAAAAGTCCTCAGAATTTGTAGGACAGTGAACCTTTCTTATGCAATATCATGGAAAGACTTATTTATTTCTTCTGAATACATTAAGGGACTTAAAATTTGGTAAAAAAAAATGTTATTTATTCAAATGCATTACTTCCTAGAGTTCTCTGAGACATATCATAATTAACTTATGAAAATATAATTAAATCTAGAACACTTGTTTTTTTGTATTCCATTTATGCAGACATGCATTGATTATGGGGCATGAGAGTGTTAAGGATCAGAGGAGAGCAAATGGAAAGAGACATCCTCTCCAGTATAGTAGGAAAAGGAGGAGGCCGGGCCTCGCTTTGCTGCTTACTTGCTGAAATACCTTGTGTACATTTCCTTACCTTTCTGAACCACTGTTCCCATAATGCCCAGGTGGGGAAGAATAATAATATTCCCCGATAAAGCGTGTGTTATGATAAAGTACTGATATTTGTGAAAAAAAGATGTTTATAACCACAAAACTGCCATACAAATATGAGTCATCATTTTTATCAAGTAGAATTCACAAAATAGCATAAGGTCTGAGCAAAGCAGCCTTGCTGTAAGCATAAAACTATTCAATACGATATGCATCTGTATGCAACAATAGGACACAGAGGAGGGCCATTTCCCAGGTTAGGAGGGTCTGATCAGGGAAGATATTTTGCCCAGAATAGATAGATTTGAAAGAGATTTAAAGGCAGTATATAGATTCATGGTTGACATCAGCTGTTACACACTTCTCTGAATTTCGCTACTTTAGCAGGCCTTCGCTGCTAGATGTTCCTAAATCTCAATAGAGTCGTTGGTGCCAAAGGCTCTGATCCAAGGCAGGTGCACAATTTCCTCCAACCTAACCAAGTGAAAAGGCTGATGGGATATTTCCTGGCTTGAATTCTTTGTAATTCAAATCTTGGCAAATGTTTTCTTTCCAATTAAATATACTTAAGTATGAAGATTCAAGGTTGTTTTCTGTAAGAATTACATATGTAAAGTTATGTTAATTGCACTTTTTTAAACATCGCATCATATACTATTTTGCATCTTTTAAGGTAATTTTCAAGTATTTTCTCTTATATTAGACTGATTTTCTAACTACTCATCCATCCACCTACCCATGTACTTACCCATTCTTTCAGTACCAGATCTGAACTGTTGTCTCCACCTCTAATGGCCTAAATACTAGCGGTCTCACCCTGTAGTAATCTGAACATGCCTTATCTCACCTGCAAGCTTAGAAGACAAGTGACATCTTATATATTTTTGTTTCTACCACAGATGCTAACAATATTTCCTTTCTAGCACTCTATACTAAGTATAGCAGAACATGGAGTGAGACAGTTATACGTTTATTGTGCATTTGTTCACGGTTACTTTTATAAAACAAATATGCACAGTCTCTAACGTACACAAAACTTGTTTGTGTATCTAACAGATTCGTGCATCAGGCCACTGAGTCCTGATGCATAGGACCACTGCAAAAGTTTCTTGGTCTCCCATCCTCTAGTCCCCCTTGCCTTCCAAGTCATTCATTCCTGCTATCTTTGTCTACACAGGTGTTAACGTCTCTGTAATATGTCCCACCTCTTCCGCACTGCCTGCAGAACATGATTCCTTCGGCTATGGACCTCACCTTCGCTACCTCCGTCTGGATGGGAATGACATCAAACCACCAATCCCAATGGATTTAATGACCTGCTTCAGGCTCCTTCAGGCTGTCATTATTTAAACACATTCTCAACAAATCTAAAATTGGTCTAATAAGCTGTTGTTTCTGACATGAAATTCGGTTACAATTCATAAGCTTAGGACAAAAGTCCATTTCCAATTGCCCTTGGCCACCATTTTCATTTGTGCAGCTTATTTTTTTCAATTCAAAGATGCTTTCACCAAAAACAGTACAGCCTGTATTAATTTTTCGTTTAATTAATATTATAAAACAGACACAGAGTTAAGATAGTTTAACTCAAAGATAGTTCTTTTTTGTCTTTTACACAGCTTATTAATACCAAATAATGCAATTATACTGTTATGCAATAAAAAAGACATGTTTGTTTATTATGTTAAAAATTACTTATGCAGATACTATATTTACAGAATAAATATAGTAATCAAACAGGAGGTAGGAAGAGCTAAAGAAAATTTTAAAATGAGATATTTCTTTATCATAATCATAATGAAATAAATGCAGATTTCCCAGTAGCTTTTGGAGGTACAAGTTTGGTACTTAGGTTGAGAATGGGTCTGAAATGAATTAAATACTTCATAATAAGAGAATTCTCGTCACTTAATATCAAATAATGAAGAAGAAATAGTCATTTCTAGTTCACCACCATTTCTTGTAGCTGTTCTTTTTAGATATAGTCCACTGCATTCTAGCAATTATACAAGTCCTAAAATTTACATTTATTATAATACATTTCTCACAGAATCTTAGTGTTTAACACTTGAAATCCATTTGAATTGCAAATTGTTCAGCTCTTATATTTGATTCTTTTTTGAATTTTTTAAAATAAAAATAGTGAGTGCTTTCTAACAAAACAGAAGTAAAATATTTATTTCAAAGACATTGTTCACAAGTTTCATTGAAAAACATATTTTAATACAGAAGTTTTAAAGTAAAAGTTATTTCTATTTTTAGCATAAATACATTCAAATATGTTTCCCCCACCTTGATTTTTTTTCTTCCAGTAAACATAAGAAAAAATTTATACTCTAACACTTAACATAATATGCCTGATTGTCACGTTAAAAAAATAATCCAGGATTTCATTAAGTAACAAAATACTTTATACTTTACTTTAGTCTTCTGATTTTGTAAGATATATGCTATAAGCAATCGATATTTTATAAAGATTAATACATGCTTTGTATATATTCTCTGAACAGTGTTCTGAAAAATTCTATAAAATTTGATATATTTCTCTAGAAAAAGGATTATATGTGTTTGCAAAACACTAGGATAAAAAAGTCCAATAGGTTACTTTACTCCAAAGCTTCTCAAAAACTAAATATGAGGCCGGGTGCGGTGGCTCATGCCTGTAATCCTAGCACTCTGGGAGGCCGAGGCGGGCGGATTGTTTGAGCTCAGGAGCTCGAAACCAGCCTGAGCAAGAGCGAGACCCCGTCTCTACTAAAAATAGAAAGAAATTAATCGGACAACTAAAAATATATAGAAAAAATTAGCTGGGCATGGTGGCGCATGCCTGTAGTCCCAGCTACTCGGGAGGCTGAGGCAGAAGGATCGCTTTAGCCCAGGAGTGTGAGGTTGCTGTGAGCTAGGCTGATGCCACGGCACTCACTCTAGCCGGGGCAACACAGTGAGACTCTGTCTCAAAAAAAAAAAAAGAAACTCAATATGCTATTATGTAATGTGAATTCCCAAGAAGAGAATATAATGTACAGTATTGCCTAGTTATTTTCAACCAAAATATATTTGGAAGTGAGGGGAAAAAAAAAGGCAATCAACACATTTTGAAAATAGTTTTGAAAATGCTGGATGAAGGCAAGAAATAAAATGAATTGACATTAAGAAAAAGAAAAAAAATTTAAAAGGCATCAAAGCACGTAAATAAAATGATGAAAATTATGTCATTTATAAAAATATTTCATAAAATAGAGGTAATCTGATATTTGTATTTATTTATAAGAAGTCATATTTTGGCTCTAGTTAAGAAGAACATTTTATTAATAATAGGTGTTCGGAGTCACCCAGCACTGGAAGCAACTTTTCTTGAGGAAGAGTTCCCCATCTCTGCAATTGTTCAAACAGAGAATGGGTGATGATTTAAGAAGAAGGATATAAAAAAGACTCCTAATCTTGAAATAAAATTGTTTTGAAATGTTCCTCTTAGACCTTTCAACTCTAAGAACTTCCCCCATCCCTCCTTCCTACCTTCCTTCCTTTTTTCATTTATTTAAATATTTATTGAGTACCATTACTACACACTGGGGTTATAATATTGTTCGCAGTTTATACTGTAGTGAGTGACACACAAATTAACTGAATGATCACAAAAATATATAAAATTTTATCTGTGATAAATATTATTAATGGAGCTGCATGGTGCAAAGAAATTAATAATAGTGATTTGATAGGAGGATTCCCTAAAGTAATAATAATTAAGGAAACATGTAAAAGATTAAAAATATTTAATAGCACAAGGTGGAAGGGAAGACTATTTCAGACAGAATTTAAAGACCCTGAAGTCCCTAGGAACAATTTGAAAGTCATCTAAGAGTTTTAAATCAAAAGGGATTATGTTCATTGAGGGGTAATATCATGTAGTGGTAAAGAACGTTAACACTGAAGTCAAAATTGCTGAGTTCAAATCCCAGCTTCACCACTTACTAGCTATGTGCTCCTGGGCAGAATATTTAAATTAGCTGTGCTTCAGTGTTCCCTCATCTGTAAAATGGGACAAATAATAATACCTACCTTATGGTGAGGATTCAATGAGTGAGAATATGTAAAGTGTCTTGAACAGCACCTGACACATGGTAAGTACTAAGTAAGTGTTATTTATAAATATTATATTGCATACATGTTTGTGGTTCTTCTTGGCACGGTCAGTAAAACAGTTGAGAGGGAACCAAGACTGGATGTGACAAGATCAGTTAGAATTTAGGTCTTACAGTGAAAGTTAGGAAAGAAAAAAAAAAGGTAGTTTGGAGCATGAGGGCATTGGCGGTCATGGTAGAAATAGGGAGAAATGGACAAATCTGAGAGCGTTAGGAGGTAAAATTGTCAATATTTGGTCATGAATTATATAGAGGGAAGTGAAAACAAGGAGGGTGTTAAGGTTTCTGGCTTGCCCAATAGAGTAGATGGCAGTACATTTTCTGAGAGAGGCATGTTTAGAGAAGATCATGAATTTGTTTTTAGACACAGTAGAAATTGCTTTGGTCATCCAAGAGATGGCATGTAAGCTGTTGAATGAAAGAGGCCTGGAGTTAAGAGAAGAGGTCTGGATGGATATACAAACATATAGGTGCAATTTTCTAGATTTTGTTAATCTATCCATTAATTTTGGAAGAATTCTGCATTTAACATATTAACTGCCATGTGAGTTGTATGTAACTAACACTAGCTTTGAGCCTGGGGACTCATGAAGCATATGAAGAAGACTCAATGCTCTGAAACAAATTCAATAAGTATGTCACGAGTCACAGACAACTCAATTGGTGTGCAGTGTAAAAATTGATTCTGGTGTCGTGTGAGTTGTATATAACTCATACACAGAAAACAATAAAAAATAACAAATTTTTCATTAAATTAGAAGGATAATTTTGTTTTTGAAGTTTTTATTCTATTTTTGTAATAAAATACCGTGGTCTCAGGGAAAAATTTTTTTTTCTAGTGTGGTAGTCAATGTGTTAAATATTCATACTCCCACGAGGTAACACTGATTAAGGACAGGGGACAGATTAGGAGAATGCAGGCATTATTCCAAATATTGGCAAATAAAGTCATGAAGGATGGAATAAATCTTCTACATATTACTCTTTATTTCATATATGCACATAGAGTTTCCCTAAAGTTTTTAAATACATGCTGTTCTCTTTCTTGATGTTATATATGATGTGACTATTATTAAAAAAAAAAAAACTTCAGGAATAATAACTAGGAGATAAGCTCAAGTCATTTTAATAAATGTTCAATGTCTCATTTATGGGCCTAATTAAAACACAAAACAAAACATTATCTATGATCTCTCCACGTAAATATTATGAACTTAATTCCTAGGGAAGGAAAAAAGGGCACAGATTAAAGAAAAGGAGTATACAATGATAGAATGAGCAATTTATTTGCAAATGTTAATGTTTAAAAGAAGACTGGTGGTAAGAAACCTGTGACAGAATTCTTTTATTTCCCCAAATCTCTTTAAAAAAACTAGATAGAATAACTGGTATGACAGAAGAAAATTCCCAGATGACATCTTTGATAAAACTAATGTCAAAGAATGCAATAGACTCTAAAAAATAAGTAAGTGTAAATGTGTGTTTATGTATGTGTGCACATGTGTAAGAGGTAGGAGGGGAAGTGTTTCTCTAGTCTCACACACCCAACACATTGCTTTACCTCCAAAATGTGTGGGGATTTCTCCCCACCGACAGCCAATTCTCTAGCAGACACCAGCCGGGTGTTCCATAATTCAATTTAATTCTGACACTATCTACCTGGTGATGGTGTCAGATCCCACAGGTTGAGGGCTCAGTTCCACAAGACTGGCCCACACTTCAGACACCAATTACAAGTAGTAGATCATCACCTACACTTCTGACCAACCAGCTATCAATTGGAGTTTCCACAAACCCATCTTTAGGCTTAAATAATTTTCTAGAGTAGCTCACAGACTCAATGAAATGCTTTACTTACATTTATAGTTTATTGTAAAGGATATTACAAAGGATACAGATGGACAGCCAGATGGAAGAGATGCACTGGTCAAGGCGTTAGGAAGGGGCACAGAGCTTCCATGCCCTCCCTCTCCAGGTGCATCATCCTCCAGGCACCTCCATGTGTTCAGCTATCTAGAAGCTCTCTGTCCTTTAGGGTTTTTAAGGAGGCTCTATTATGCAGGAGATTTTCAACTCTCTAAACACAAGTTTTGTTCCCCTAGCAAACAGCCCCCATCCAGAGGTAATCTAAGAGTTGCCTCGTTAGAACAAAAGATCTTCCTATCGCCCAGGAAATCCCAAGTGATTTAGCAGCTGTGTGTTAGGAACTGTAGTCAAAGAGCAAATATTAAAACAAAAGATTCTCCTACTTCCCCATCTACAAGAGTTTTAGGAGCTATGTATCAGGAATAGGGGATCAGAAACCTGTGTGTGTGTGTGTGTGTGTGTGTGTGTGTGTGTGTGTGTGTGTGTGTGTATTTCTTATCACAATATGAATATTTGATAGACAGATGTACAGATGTAGATATTTAAAATTTAAAGTGCTCTAAGAACCATACATTTTCTGGGAGAAGTGTAAAGTTTATTGGTTGCAGTTAGGATTGTATGTCATATAAGAAGGACATATTTTTTTCCCAAGTTAACTACAATATATAGGTGGATAATGTATAATTGCCCAACTAATATACAAGGGAAAACCAGAAAGACAGTATTTATATAATCCAGAAGAATAAAAGAGCAGGTAGTTTAAAAAAAAAGTAGAAAGCATATAATAAAATAGAACATTTGAAACCACATGTAAGTGGTTAAGAATGTCTGCTTTGGAGAGAAAAGATTGAGTTTCAAATCCAGCTTGTGCTATTTACTAACTCTTTCATTTTTGGAAAATGTCTTAACATTTCTAAGCATTGGATACTCATTTGTAAAATAAAAACCCATATCATCTATCTTACACATTTGCTATGAGAATTAAGATAGAGAACAGATGTGAAATTTTTTATCACCTGATACACAGAGAGTACTCAATAAAGGGTAGGTCAGAATTTTATTATTAGCAGGAACTTCAAAACACACAATTGCATGGGATTTCTCCACCAAATCAGACCAGTTTACAAATGAAGAACTGAGAAAAATGAGTAGCTGAACTAAGCAAAGTTAAAGGTTTTATGTTTTGGTACAATGGAAAGGTAAACAGTCAAGTAAAGT